ACTTCCGTGCCTCGTCCGACGTCGCTAGAGGAAGCCATGAGCGTTGGGTTGTTTCAAGGAAGAAGAWGTAACTGAAAGAATTTAAAGGGGAAGGCCTTTTGAAGTATTCCCACAGACGGCGCCAAATGATGCGGAGCGATCCGGGCACTCCTAGCTAGCGGCTGGCTGGCTCCTTGTCGACAACACGCAGCACCTGAGAAGATGAAAGGAAGGATTCCTGGGGACTTGCCCGGTGGGAATACTCTGATGCTTAAGTTAGTACTGTGTATGGGGAGTAAAGAGAGAAAACGAGAGCTAAGAGTGGAGGTCGCGCTTTATCACTATATTTTAGAGGTTAGAGGTCTCAAGAGAGAGTTTCTCCTTTGCCTTGAGGGCCTTTTATCGGAGCGCTCTTGCGAGATCGATCATAACCGCCATTGGGTCCCTGCCACAGCCGTTACCTGCCAGGGCTGAGCAAGTGGCCGTTGGGACGTACCCCTTACTCGAGCGAGTGACACATCCCCCAAGTGACAGGCACGCCTCCGCCTACTGAGAGACGTGGGCGCAGACTGTCGAAAGGACAGGGACTGCGCCGTCAGTTAGGAACGTGGCCCAGTCTGACGGGTACGGCTTATTAAATAGAAGCTTCCTGAGGAATGCACGTGCGGCCCATTTGCGAGCTACTTTGCAACGAGCTTCAAATACTTCAGAAGTACCCTTGGTAGAATTGGTCCTCGGATGACTTGCCTTGTTCGGGAGCTCAGGCGAGCTGGCTTTCTTAGCTCGCAAGTTAAAGTTTTCCTCGGAATATCCCTTGAGGTAGCTCGGGGGACCCGTAGCCCGCGTTGTGGCGAGCCCCTCCTTTACCCCACTACCATGTAGCGAGCTGCTTTAGGGGCCTATCACTTAGCCATACTGGACCACGATACCGAGTTGTCGCTTACGCTTTGTCAACGTCCATGCGTCGTCGTTTCATGGGTTGGGTCAAATTATCCTTCATCACTGTTCATCATTAATTCACTGGCCACTATAAAAGGTAAATTGCTAAAACCTTCCCTGAAGTTTCTGATATTATATTGTTAAAACCTCTACTGAAGTTTGGTAATTGCAAAGGACCGGCAATTTTGACACTAACCCATTTGGCCCACCCATCTCTTACGTACGTGGGTCAATATGGGTAAGTGACCCACTGGGGTCAAGAGAAAAGGGTCAGGGTGGGGTTGGGTCAAGGGTACCATTGGGTCACAACATTAATGGTCGAATTAACTAAGGAGAGGGGGAAAGTGTTTAATTCAACTTTTAATAATCGAGGGATGGCATATGGAAAGGAGAGAAAGGAGATGCAGCGGCGGCCGACGACTAGAGAACTGAGGTTCGAATACTTCCATGACGGCTGAGTGTTTCTTCTCCACCACTAACATAAGGGAGATGCAACGGTTAGTGATTAACAAAGGTTTGAATAGTTTGATGAGGGTTGTGTTTTTCCTTTTCACCACCAACAGAAGGAGAGAGTAGGGAGATGCAGCGGTGGCCGGCGATTAACAAATAGAGGTTCGAATAACTCCGCTGATGTTTGTGTTTTTATTCTTCACCTCTAATGAAAGACAGGGCAAATCTTTSCTCTTCTAGTCTTTCCACCACTGCAGAAAGTTTTTTTTTTTTTTTGTGCCACTGCAATGACAGCCTTAGACTAAGATTGGATTCACACTGACTCTCTGGTCTTTCCACCATTATATAACAAGAGGATGTTCTACTTTTTTACAGTTGCAGGGATAGCTGGCGACGAAGGTTCAAGATCTGGTGCAACTTTCCACAAGTTTTGGGTTAAAATATATAATTATTTTGAAATTTTGTCAATTTAGGTATTCTATGCAATTTCAATTTTTTAAAATAATATATGTTTTTTTTTTTATTTTATCATTTTCGTTTTTTCCTACAAATTTATATCAATTTTTGTGTTTTATTAATTTTGATAGTTTTTAATAATTTTTTTAATATTTGTATTTTTGTTTGAGTAAAATATTGTATTTTCTTAATATTTGCCTTAGATTAGTGGGTCATCTGGACTTTTTAACACAATTACAAATAGTTGTTAGAATCCTAAGAAGGGGCATGAAAATATCCAAAATACCCATATAGTGCAAAACCTTGTATTTTATATTAATTTGTATGTATTTACACTGTATATATTTGTATTTGTACTCCTAAACTGAGCCTTAAGAACCAACCTTGTTAGTAACTGCATTGGTATTTTAGACATTTTTCTGCTTTTGTTAGAGGATTTGAACCGAGAGAATCTACTTGCAATTATATCAGAAAGTTCAAGAGAAATAATTGCAAGTACCAAACTTCACAGAGGTTTAGAAATGGTTAAAAAACTTCAGGATAATAAGTAATACTATGTTATTAAATTGAAAGTTTGAAGCAAAAGGATTAACTTAACTTGATTTTAACATGCTAGCTAATGGTTATAGAATCCATTAATATATTATTTATTTTAAGTTAAATTGTTAATTAATAATTGCAAAAAATATACAGCAAATATAAAGAATTTGTTAGATCTGGTCTTACTGCTACTACTTGCTTGGACCTGACGTCACACAGCTAGCGTTTAAAAGAAAATTGCAACTTTCCCCACTATCAGGTATTATTTCAATCAAATTAAAATGGTCCCTTTATTTAAATCAAATGATCCCCGTCACAAATTTTTTAAAGGTATTAATTTATCAAAAATAAATAATACAAGATGGAAAGAGAGTTTACATCAGCCCCCCAACAACGTCGTACATTCCAGCCGTGTATTAGAAACATCTCCCAATGTTTTATTATTTTTTATACTATTATCAGGAGATATTTTCAATACACGGCTGGGAAGTGGTGTGGGACATTGTGGGGGGCTGATTTGAACTCATGTAAACAGGAGGCCTGTAAGGCAGGACAATCAAAATAAGGCAATCATAGGCACCAAAACACCATAAAATCCAAAAATGACAAAGATCCGCAATGCCATCTCTTACATCAAGGCCCCGTTCATTTACTTGGACAAGTGTATTTGTCAAGATAAACGTTTCCTAAGTTACACAAACTTAGATAAATTCATTTACCCATGTTCTTTTGATTTTTTTACTCATAAAAAACTAATGTTAAAATGAACAAATTTGTCCAATTGTTCAATGGAAAAGAAATGCCCGTTGAGCCCCCCCCCCTATTTACTAGTAAATGGGGCCCAAAATTTAACCATTGAATGATTGATCATACCATTAAGCTACGTAATTTCAACAAAGCAAATTTGCTAGCAGTCCAATGGTCATGAACATTGTATAAGACACATAGAGTGTGGGCTCTAACGCACTTCAAATGGACTCCGGATCGCCTGCCCATGAGAACTCTACCAATGTCTACCCACAACACACTACCCCTGTGAATTAAGAACATCTTCCCCTACATAATATTATGTAGGAGGATATGATGTTCTCCATGTGTGGCTGCAATGTTATGTAGGTAGACGTGGGCAGAGTTTGTGTGGGCAGGAGATCCGGACTCCTTCAAATGACACTTTTCTTGTACCTGTTTTGGAGGGCTTTCACGCGGCCACTTCGGACTTTGCAAAATGGGCCCCATAAAAAAGCCTAAAAGCTATGCTTGGTGAAAAACCTAGAAAGCCGGAATATGTATTAATTGAGTTAATAAATCAAGATCAAATTCACACCGCCTTCATGGTCATTTGCAGCTGTGCATTGGAAATATCTACCCATGAATAAAAACATACAAACATGGAGATGTTCCCAATATACAGTTGCAAGTGGCTGTGAATACAATGAGAGCACGATCTTGAGAAGACTGAATCTGAATTCTAATAAATCAACTTTCTGATGAAGTTAGTTATAATAGTTTTTTTCAATATGGCTCAATCAAAGCTAAAGTGGTAACTAAGACCTCGTTTGGCATCATTCCCCTCGTTTGGCATCATTCCGCGGGAGTGTTCCTTGCGTTCCAGATGCTCCTGCAGAATGGGAACACGTTTGGCATGACATTTTCTATCATTCCGTGTTCTTTTGGAGTGGGAACAGCATATTTCCAGTGAGTTTGGCTTCAGTCAGGACAAAGCCCGTTCGAGCAGCCTTTGCTGTTTTGCATTGAGAATATCTCCTTACTTATGTTCTTTATTTCATGGGGAGATATTCCCAATACAAGGTTGGGAAAGGCTGTTAAAACGGTGTGGGCACAGGTTTAATGGAAGCCGATCTCGTTTCCCAATACAAGAATGAGAAACTGGGAACACGTAGTTCCCACTTCCCACGACATCATTTCGCAACCATTTAGCCATAAGGAAGTCCTAGTCAAGCTTAGTGGGGTTCTTCCTACTGCCAATGCACTCCCAAGCCTTTGCAGAACTTCGACCAGGCTGCAATTGTTCAATCGGTCGCATTTTTCAGCCAATTTTCTTGCACTCAATCTTCACCTTCTTTCCGTCGCTCAAGTAAGAGCTTTCTCTCCTTGCTTAGTTCGCTTTTCAAAGCATTTTGCCCTTGTTTATTTTTTATTTTCATTATCTCTATTTGACATGCAATTTGCTTACTTATTGTAAAAATGTATTAGGTGCCATTGAATTGATCTGGCTTATTCAAGTGGTTTGATCAAATCGAACCACTGGTATAAGGACTTGTTCAAGTATGGATTTGAAAAACTAATCTTAAGATTAACAATCCAAATGCTGTTTCTATTTCTTTAAAATAGAAACTTGCTCCTAAGGAACAAATTGCTAAACACTAGTGTTATTATTCCCCAGGAACCAGAAATTCCATTCCTGTTGTGGAACAGGAATTTCTCAAGGAACAAGAACAGGAAAGAACAATGCCAAACGGGGCCTAATAGGTTGGTGTTAAAGCAAAATTTATAGGATAATCTATGATTGGTCAAAGTTCTTTTGGTATAATACCTTCAAGCATCATATGGATTTACATATATGCAAGTGTTAGTTCCTTTTAGTGAAAGAAGAAATGGAAAAGAATACAGTAACGAAAAGAGAAGATCATAGTAGTTCGGATATTAGTGGATCAACTTTACATTTATACAGAAAGGCATCATACCAGTCAACTGGTATCATAAAAGTGGTAACTAATAGGTTGGTCTAAAAGCAAAATTTGGTCAAAGTTCTTCTGGTATCATACCTTCAAGCATCATATGGATATGCATATGGATTTACATATATGCAAGTCTTAGTTCCTTTTAGTGAAAGAAGAAATGGAAAAGAATACAGCAAGGAAAAGAGATCAGAGTATAACAAGAATAAAATAATGATTAGATAACATGAGCTTCGTTTCTCAACTTGTCAATGAGTTCATCCACAGAGGAGACCAGCACCCCAGCTTTCCTCTTGGGGGGTTCAGTAACTTGAACTACCTCCAAATCAGACTTGATTTCCACATTCAGCTCCTGGGGTGTAACCTTCTTTATAACTTTTGATTTTGCTTTCATTATGTTGGGGAGCGTTGCATATCTTGGCTGGTTCAGTCTCAGATCCGTGCTGCATCAAGGGCAGAAGAGATGAATGAAGGTATTTTTCAAACAAGAATTTGAATCAAGTTTAAGAAAATCATATCTATTATAAGTTATAGATTTTTTTTTGATAAATAAAACTATTGTAAGTTATAGATTACCAAAATTGATTAAAGCATATAGTTAGTTAAAGAGATTAATTAACATGTTTGGGTGAAACTGTGCTTACAACAAGCTACAACCCCCCAGCCCCCCCMCCCCCCTACACACACACACGAGAGAGAGAGAGAGAGAGAGAGAGAGAGAGAGAGAGAGAGAGAGAGAGAGCAACATAATAGGTTGTGTTCCCTTTCTTCTTAGGGCTTTCCTCTGTATATCTCTGCTTCTCCTTTACTTTAGGACTAGGCCTTGCCTTCAATCTCTTCTTAACAAGTAACAAGTTCCTACTAAATTTTGTTATCAACAAAAGAGAAAAGGCTAAGATGACAGGTTACATCTATATGAACCAAATGTATTCTGGAAAAAGTAAATTCTGAAGGTCCCAAAAAGTTTTCTAGAGATAGGTATTACTGCACTTTAAGCACTACCGTTTATGCTTTCAGAATGTTGTATAAGAATATCTTAGGGCATGGCAGTGGAAGAAGCATTGCCATATAAATGAAGCTAATACTATTACAAACTCCCGAAGGTAGTGGGTAATTGCCATTAGGTACAACAATGTTTTAAAAATGTGGAGGCATAATGCTTAAGCATTCCACTACCTGGATGCGTGACACTAGTCCAGAACACAAGAACCATAAGCCTCCTGAGCACGAGGCGTAAGCCTCATCAAGAGGAGTTCTTTCTTTTCTTTTCTGTCTTTCTTCCGAAAGGCATTGGAGGCATATGCCTCAAGCACCTGACACACACACCTCAGAGACATCCAGGCCCCCAGCATACACCTCAAACGCCTTTAACTACATTAGCGATACATGATACACAAAATTGCAAGTTACAAAATATAAGTTTATACATCACACTGGTAAAATCAGCATAGATGATGTCCCATATTAAATCATGGTCTGAGTCCCTGATACCTATAGCTCCTAAAGTTTCATTTTTTCACTCAACATCACTTTAAGGTTGAAAGTGGATTTTCCTTCACAATAGAAAACAAGCTCTCTTCATTGTGGTCCATAAAGTATGTGTTACAGTAGTAGTAGTAGTAGTAGTAGTTGAGCAGACTGCCAATCTCAAGAGACTAAACCACCCTGACACCCATTATCAAAAACAATATTGTTCCAGTCGTTACAAAAAAATAAATGATCTTACCCAAAAAAGTCATTGTAAAGACCTGCCCAAAAATAACAATAATAATTTTTCACTGGAACATCTTAATATACACTACTGTGCAATTTGGAAATTTTAGGATTGTGGATCAATAGAAAAACATATTTAGACTGGACCATAGAAAAACCAATTCTGCCTCAGTAATTTCTTCTTTCACCAGATTTAACCAAATTACATCACAAGTTGTTCTAGATAGTTTGAAACCGTTATCCAGATCTATCCTAGATCATGATCACTATACATAATGCCAAGATATAGAATCTAATACTCAAAGCATGTAAAAATTAAACCCATCAGTATTTATAAACAAGTTGAACATTTTAACTTGTCCTTCTGTTGCCTCACATCTTTACTTTTAATTTTCCATTTTTAAGTGTCTTTTTCATCTAAATGACCATAATGTTTTTTAGCAGCATCAATGATACTATCGTTGATAGTTTGACTTTGACATCCTTGATATTATCATATTATGTGGCTGGTGACGATCCAGGATGTAGATCATACAAACCTCCCCATGATATGAACTTGAAACCTGCTGTTTGCACTTTTCATGTAAATGCACATGTTCCTTCACATCTCTGCCATACATTTTGAATTTCTATTCCTTACCTAACAACAGCAAAAGGATGATGGGCAATGGATATCATATTACTAAAAATTAATCCTTACCAAAAAAACAACAGATGGTATGAACATGCATTGGCATAACCTTCTCAAGAAGTTGTCACACACCTTCCAAGTTACTCTCCAAGATCTTTGTATCCTTGGCAAGGAAGGAATTACTAAAAGTATAAAAGAATTACTCTAAAGGGAATGACAGTATAATATTGCCTTTAGGGGTGCCTTTCCAAGATCCATAAGCATTAAATTTTTAAGTTAAGAGTTCTATTGTCATAGGATATATTTTGGCAGGTATTGGTTTTAAAAGTTTCTTTCTAGAAATTTATGCCAAACATGTCTGATCACTTTCTTAATGCAACCAATAAGTGATCTAAGTGAGGAAGAAAAGTATAAGAATACCTACAAGTGGGGCCCATAGCCTCTTCTGTTCAACCACCCCAGCTATCCCTAAGGCTTTTTTCCAGGACACATCCTGCTATTTATTCTTCTCAAAATAATCTCACTCATGGGAGAAATCAGAAATCACCTAAATTTGGCAGTGTAAGGCAATTCTATAATTTCTATCAACTTTTCACATGGGTCAGTTTTCTAAGGGTCTAAGATAAGTGTTAAATAAGCATCTTTAGTTGACTTGGACCATACTTGGTCGTGGGCCTGCTTATGATTAAGTAACCATTAAGTTATCTCTTTTATTTAATTTAGTAACAGAATTGGGAGTGTTTTAAAGGGCTGGGCAACCCTCCCTTCTAGTATATAATATGTTCACAAAGCCAAAAATGGTACCTCTATTAAATAAAGAATTTTGTGTTGCAAATTTCATTCAGGGGCTTCTGTTTTTTATTCTTTTAACTATTCCATCCTGCACTCTTGAATGATTCTTGGCCAGTTCTTAACTGTTGTTGAGTAATTCCTGAGTCTGATATTTGATTGAAAACTCTGCCTTCTTGAATACTTTCTTCCTGAGCCTTTCTTCTTGCTGCCATCCTTCATGTTCTATTGCATTCCTAGCCTAATTGATCCGATCCTAATGGAGAAAGAATGTTTCCTTCCATCCCTAGAAAAATAGCCTACCCTAATAAACCCATTAAATAATTTCCGTGATATCAACCTCATAGATGATTTCTCATCCCTAAGCCACACCTAGGATTGTATATGCATCAGTGGGTTTGTCGTCCTTAAACCTTGACACTTTTCTCCAACCCTAAACATCCCTGGGAAAACTGACATACCCTATAAGACAAAACATGGTATGACCAAGAACTTAGTCCCAAGACTAAATTCTGCTTTCATATCCACTCCAGGGACAAAGCCAAGCCATACCTTCCACTATTAATAAAGTAGCATCTTTATTTACTTGTTACTGAAGTAAACCTTTTCTCCCCACTCAAAAATATCTATGGCAAAAACATGTAAGTGCCTTTCCAAGGACAGGGAAGACATTAATCTCAGGAACACCTCATACATGATAATTAGGAAGATGGATACAATGGTACAAAAGATCAAAGGATGCTTCACTCAGAAATAAATATATGTCCATACTGTTTTCTTGAAGGGTTCGACTCTGATACAGGAAAAACTTGCAACCAATCAACCGGTATCATAAAAGCGGTAAACAATCAGGTGGTATTTATCAAATCTGGTAGCATAGATTTTCCCACTCTTGAAGGTATCAAATATCTAACTATTTAGATTCCACCAGGGAGAAGAAAGTTAAGTCCTAAATGCCCTCAGAAAATTTAAAATCTCAAAAATAGTACCTTCAAGTTTTTCAATGTTCTCGTCAAGTTTTTTTCTGTTTCTTTTCTTCTGGGAGGGGGGGTGTTCATAAAATTAAGTTACACCAGATACAAAGCTTAAGCCAATATATGCATCTCCATGCTCAAAAAATAAGACTATCACATTAGCAACCTGAGAATTGAAAAGCTGCACCTGCACAGATACTACACTCTAGTTGTTCAATTAAATAAAGCATCCTGTCACAAAAGATATATAAATCTAGAAAATTGAGATAACATAAATAGATTTCTAGTTTTTCAACTAAAAACAAAAAAGCAGCATAACCATTTCAATCTGCAGTATGTTCCAGAATCACTTGATAAAGAGGATGCCATTTGCAATTCTAACTAAAAGGAACAGCACTGGCAGATGCAATTATAAACATAGAGGAAAATGTAATCAATTGTCAATTGTCATAAACATAAGAAACAATAAAGATATGATAATTACGTGATTACTGCTGGTAGGTCTAAACACAGAGTCTCCAGACCACCATCCACCTCCCTTTCCACTGTTGCTACCTGCTTCTCTTTATCCAGTACAACCTACTAGAAATAACAACAAAATCATAACAAAATAGAAGAACTATCAGTATGAAACAAACATAATCCTTCCATTTTTGGGGACCAATAACAAAGTTTTCCAGTAAATTCTAACCACAAGCTTAATTGCAAGATCTATAAAACCATATGATTTATGAATAAAGAGGCAGTTAAAAATGCCATCATACCATGATGCATCAAAAAAAGTAAAGTTAAAAATATTCAATATGTTACGAATGTGGAAAAGAATACAGATCATACCAGAGGAGACATCTAAAGAAAGGAATAGTTTTTTGATTGGTAAAGAAAGAAAGAGGTTAAAAAAAGGGCCTTTACAGACTGTAGTGAGTCTACAGTCTATGCATTAGGTTCCAACATTTGGATGGAACATGCATACAGACCGCTGTAAGTCACCATATAAGCAGAAAATGAAACTCGTAGTCAAGAAAACCAGGCCTTCACAGATACCAAACCATTAGTATACAGACAATTGGAATTTTTTTCACTAAGAGGAATAATCAAGCATTATTCCCGTTGTTCCCATCCTTCCATGTTTTTCTTTACAGGTCTGATGGATTTGCAAAACGTAATAAGGGTTTCCCAACATAAGGTCCACAGGCTTGTGCAATTAGGAAACTCCAATTCTTTGAACATAACAAGACTTCTATCATTCTTGGAACAGATGTACCTTCTTACCCTAAAAGCTGAAAATTAGTAAGAATACCAGCTTAGCATTATTTATCATTTAGTTTCTTAAAGAATGTAGAACTACAAACCACCATAAAGCAGGAATTGGATAAGGGTGATCTACATTCTCAATCCTCGTACATTGAGAATTGCATATGATGCCATGAGATAATTTCTATCTTCCACAAGCACATTTAAAAACAATTCTAAAAAGTGAACAAACCACCAAGCAAACCTAAATTGAACTTAAGACTCATGCCTTATGTTTAATGAATTAATTATGAATCTGGTCTAAAGGAGTAGGTACGGGGGTTCAAAAGACTATTATGCACTGTGGCTTCCTTTATCCATTATCTAGAATGATAGATAAAAAGTTTTCTATCATTACATTACATGATGATCAGAACAAGAAAATCAATCATCAAAGTCTTTTCTTCTTTCTTTTAATCAAGTATTCTAAATCAAATGAAAATACTGCGTCCGAGTTGATTACGCGGAAAATTAAAGGAGTCAGATATTCCGCTATGTATTGAAAATATGAAAGCATGAACCTTTGAAGCGAATGTTCCCTGTGGCCAGTTGAGCAGCCCTGCAACCATTTGCCCCGTTTGATTGCAATCGTCATCAATAGCCTGCACATTAATTAGGACAACCAACAGAAAGCAATCTACTGTAAGAGCAATCCCTCAGTAACCAAAATTCAAAAATCCAAAAGGGAGATCAAAATTAAACCAATTGAACTCGAAACTCCAAGACCGTAACCTGCTAGAATTGGAGGCTAATATTGCCGCACCTGTTTACCGAGGATGAGGAGACCAGGTTTCTCGACGTCGACAAGGGCTTTGAGGAGCTTGGCGACGGAGAGGGGATAGAGCGTGGGCGGAGCATCGACATGGATAGCCCTATCAGCGCCCATAGCGAGTCCAGTCCTAAGGGTGTCGAGACACTGATTGGGGCCCATGCTGACGGCGATCACCTCCGACGCCAGTCCTGCCTCCTTGATCCGAAGAGCTTCCTCGAGAGCAATCTCACAGAATGGGTTCATCGACATCTTCACGTTGCTCGTCTCAACACCGCTCTGATTGTTTGCATGCATGCGTAGTCATTGTTTGAATCACGAAAATCATGAACTCGGTGATGATGATTAAAGATAATTGATTTAATTAATTATGTTTATTTTTACCTTGTCAGGCTTAACTCTGATCTTAACGGCGTAGTCGACGACTCTCTTGACAGCAACCATGATCTTCATCTTTGTTCTTCTGCTGCTCTTCACCAGCACCGTAGCAGAACCCAGAAAAGGAAAAAGAGGATGACTGTTCCTGGGACTGGGAGAGTAGTTCGGGTAAGATAAGAATAAGATTGCAACTTTGGATATGGTTAAGATGGATCGGATGATATTCTGGTCAACTTCGGATGAGATTGCCACTTTAGCGATGATGAAACATGAAACTACCGGTACCGGGCTAAGAATGGGTCGGATCCAGATAATCGTAAGCCCGTAACTGACCGGACCCAGAATTTTGGAAGTCCGAGCCCAAGTCGACCAAATTTTTCCACATGGGTTCATTCAGATACCTCACCTCACCTAACAGCTCGATCTTTTAGGTTGCACGATTCCTTAACACTGAAGTGAGTTTGTGTTAAAAAAGAAAATTGGTACATCTCTTCTATGGATTCAAATGCCATCCAAGATATTCATACCATAATTTAACATGATTCTTCTGTAATATATGTTGGCATTTGAAAGAATTGAACAGCATATTAGAGGGTAATTGGCATTTAGCCATTTACAATGAACCAAACTGACTACGTGATTATACATTGTTAAGAGCAAGCTTAACTCTCTCACAAGCTTGCTATACATTAATGGAAAAGAATCAAGAAAATTATTTACAAATAGACCCACATAGAGGGGTGATAATAAGAGGTAATTAAATTAGATATTTGGCCAATGTTGATCACTTTGTCTTCAGCTATGTTGGACATCTGAATTCTGCTACCGGACATCATCAGTTCCGTCACAACTGAATTTCAATCAGTGCACATTCTCACTCCGCTTCTGCAAGTCTAAGGCGTATTGACTCAGGATTTGAATTCATATTGAGACTGCACAAATTCCAACAAAATATAATGTCAACCATTGCTTGGAATCACAAAAAACAAAAGAAGAAAAAGGCAACTTATTATGAGTTAAGCTCACCAGAATATATAATCCCCACTAGATGCCACCTTCCTCGAAATCCAATCTGGAACTAGTTCATCCATCAAGTTCAGCTGCTCTTCAACTTCCCCTGCAGAAGCAATTCACAATATTAATATCACATGAAGCTTCAATATATTGTGCAAATATTCCATATAACTAATAATTCACAGTAATAGCTGATAAGATTTAGGAGAATTACTTTTATCAGTTATATCACAGTGACTGGCAATTATCTTGTGCATAAGCTCCTCCTTTGTCATAACAGAACGCTTAGCTGACTGAAATATTAGGCGGATCATGTCAAACAGCTTGGGTAGGCATGCAATCATTTGTTGCCGCCTCTTCGCTTGAGAGATTCCTGCATCCCTCTCCTCCATTGCTTTTCTCTCCTTCTCTCGTATCTGCACAGAACTAATCTGGTTAATCCACCAATACTAACTTATCCAAGTTGGCCAAGTATTCCCGTCATGGGCATGGAGTTGACATGTTAAGGCACCTCAATGGGAACGAGGATCTGAAGGAGTTGTAATTTCTAGTTTTCTAAGTACTTGAAATCAATGGAAACTACATTTATTAACTTGGAACCTTTGAATTCTACACTAAACTGAACAGAAAATAAATAAAAATAAAAAATCTCTTCATCATGATTAGGGTCTGGTTAAAATGTCAGAAGAAAATATCTAAAAGATTATAGCATCTGAATACGTGACTGGACTTACCGATTGCAAAAGTGCCTCCGGAAGAATTTCCATAATGCCCTTCTCAACAGATGACCCCCATGTCTCAATTGTTTCTTCCCCAGTTTTTGTATTCTTTACAGGAGTGTCAAATTTCAAAGATCTGCTCCGGTTTGGACGCCTGGCCAGCTTGTTGGGTGAGTTAGCAAAATCATTGTCAGGGCTCATTCGACATCTTTTTGGTGTCTGCAATGTGGGTGTAATGCTCATCAGCTTGGCTGGAGTTGAAACGAGTTTTGCAGGAGTCCCTTGGGTACCAGCAGTTTCTGTCAAAGAACAATCCTCATTCCTCATAAGTTCTGCCTTTTTGCCCACTTCTGCAATAGTGCTTGAGGGATGTAATTGAGATGGAGAAGCACAAACTTTTGGCAATCTTTTACTGGTCAATGATTTTGAAGAATATTTAAGAGGTGACGAAGCTGGAGAAGTGCAAGGCTCCTCAATAGAAGAACTTTCTTTGGGGCATCGGTTTAAGACTGATAAAACTGAAGATTCGGGAGGAACGCTGGGTAGTTGTAGGAAATCGTGTTCTGTTTTAGATATGGAAACTCTCTGTGAAAAACGCCTCTGGAAAGACCGAGAAAGATGAGACGCTGTTACTACCGGGAGTTGTTCTTGAAGATCATTAGATGGTGTGGGTGTGGGGTTGTAGGTCTTGATAGCACTTGAGAGTATGTTCTGTTTCTTTTGATTGAATGGCTCCGGCAGCACTTCCTCTGGAATTTCATCTCCCTGAGCATAAAAGAGCAACTCAACATAAGAATCATAGCAAGCTAAAATGGTTTAGCACACGCAGTCCAGAATAAAGAAAGTGATAAGCAGACATCTTTATTGTCCACTGTGACTAATGCTGCAATAGCAAACTATCAACATTTTCAGTGAATCTAAAATAACTACAAGGTTGAATTCATCATAAGTATTGAACCTCTTGATGAAGAAAAACAACAGGCCTTTCTTAAATCTAGTAAGTGCTTTCACATCAATAGGAAATAAAACAAAAAGCTTCACAATTGAGTTGCCATCTCTAATTTTATTCAGAAATTAAAACAAAAGACGCTGCACGTCACGGCCAACTGTCCCTTTGGAATTTATGTAAATATGAATGACAACAATGGTAATCTCTCAAGGAAAAAGGGAACAAAGAATCACTTTTAAGTTTCAGATTCTTCATTCTAGGACAACAGAAGATAAAGAAACTAACAAGTACCTCGGGGTGAGCTTTGAAGAAATCCAAAAGCCTTTCACGGAAAATCTTCCTCAACTTCAAATACCCACTTCCGACCTTCCGCTTCTCATCATTTTCTAAGGCATCTGTTTGAAGAGTAATCTGAAGTTCCGGCTTCATGCACAGTGTTCCCTCATCGTGCATAAGAACCTTCTGAATTATAATAGCTTCGGGTAAAATGTACTTCAATTGAGCTAAATGCCCATAAGAAAACCTCCTAAAAACATAGAACAGTTAAAAAGGAAAATAATTAGAACAATTGTGAAAACCCAGAACAAATTCTATCTGATTCTAAAATCAAACAGAGCAATAATTTCGACACCCGGGTTGAAGTTCTGCACTTCGAGTTGAACATAAGTCCAATAGAAATAAAGGGGAAGGCTTACCGGTCTGTTAGGGCCTCAACTTTCGGTGAAATGTTTGTAAACGTCGACAGTGATTTTTTCAACCGAAGCAGCCGAATTGAGCTTTCCATACTGTCAAAGAACTCGGCCAACATCTCATACCTGAATCACCAAAGCGAATACCAAAATGGGTTGAAGCTCAGATCAATTAAAACCTAGATAGTTTACACAACGTTAGAAAGAAAATTAATCTTAGATTCCGTACTTCTCAGGAAGCTTAGTTGATGCTTCGGTCTTGGAAGATTTACCGACCGCACTGGCACTCGGTCCATATTCAGACGAGAGATTTGTGCTTGTCCCAATCCGATTCAGTTGATCGGATGGTGCATCTGTATTTGTCTTCCGGAGCCCTTGAGCGATCTTCTTCACTTCCTTTACCGAAAGGGCAAAACCTTGATTTCTGATTCGACGAGGGAGCTGCGTCGGCTTCTCCGGTGTCTTTAAGCTCCATTGGTGCAGATCTGCTGCTTGGGCTTCATTCGAGGAAGCCGATTTCGAACTCGATCTGATTATCTTCTTCGACCTAAAGGTATTGAAACTCGAAAATGAGGGTTCTGCTGCAGAAATTTTCTCTGTCGGCTCTGTGTTACCGGAGGACTCCATGGATGGATGAATTGTTGGACCGAAGGACAGAGAGAAAGGAGAGTGGCGAGAGATAGCAGAAAGGGGCTTGGCCAGGTAAATGGGCGTTGCTTGGCGGGAAAACTGAGTTGGATGATCCCGTGGCCGATTGCCAGATCAGTTTACCCGCCAAAAAAATGTATCCCGGCTTTCCTTGCATTGGGAATATACAATAACAAGATGTTTCCAATACACGGCTGCAAAAGGCTGTTATGAGTTGGGACGGATTTGTGATTCCTTCGTTGGTTACTTGGCTTTGAAGGGCTCCGATTTGCTTCCCACAAGTTGTTCCAACGTTTCTACCCACAAGACATTATTAGGAAATTCCTTAGTTGGTTACTTGGCTTTGGAGAATCCACATCTGCGCCAGGGCGCCCCATATATGCCCCGTAGTATATTCCAACCGTGTATTGGAAACATCTCTCATTAAAAATTTCGGGAGATATTCCTAATACATGCTGAGATGTGCATGCGGGGCACGAATTGATCTTGGCTTTGGAGGGTTCCGATTTTTTACCCACGTTCTTACATTTTTATCCACGGAACATTATTAGAAAACTGAATAACTTGTGTGACTCCCGAAAGTTGATTAATTTTTTTAATTGATATTTTCTTTTTTTTATGAGGTCAAAATATAGAAAAAGTTAAAATTGTTGCTCCATGGAGCTATAGGATCAGGGGACTCGGCCTCGATCAGTGGAGCACCCGTTTGAACGGCCTTTATAACTAGGGGTGGATTCGAGTCGAGCCAAGCCTAATACTTTGAGCTTGGCTCACTAAAACTGTATTAAACTCAAGTTCAATTCGAGCTAGAGACTTGAGCTCAAGCTTGGCTCGATTCAAAGCTTGCAAGTTTGAGCTCAACTTGAACTCGACTACAAGTCAAGTTTTTTCTAAAAAACAAAAATTTTAAATATAAAAATATTTTTATTTTACATACAAAAAATTAAGAATTGTAAAAATTATTTATTATTATACATATAAAAAATGTTTTATATTTATATAAAAAATAAGAATTATAATATTTACTATTATACATAAAAAATATACATATTATTATATATAATAAAAATTATTTATTATATATATGTATATGTATATGTTATGTATATGTATATGTACATGTATATGTATATGTATATGTATATGTATATGTATATGTATATGTATGTATGTATGTATGTATGTAGGTAGGTATGTAGGTATGTAGGTATGTAGGTATGTAGGTATATAATAAAAAATTTATTTATTTATTATACTAGGCTCATGAACCTCACAAGCCGAGCTTCACTAGGCTCGAGCTCGGCTCAAAGCTCGTTTTAAACCAAGTTGAGCCAAGCTCGAATAGCTCATGAGAAGCTCGGTTGTCGCCACCCCTATTTATAGCCTTGCATTGGGAATATCTCCACAGTTATGTGCTTTATTTCATGGGCAGATAATATTCCTAATGCAAGGTTGCAAAAGGTTGTTCAATCGGTATGAACATGGGCTTGCACTAACTCAAGTCAAACACATGACTAGGGGACCTTACCAACCCTACAACAACGGGATTTAGTCCCAAGTCTTCCCTAGGACCAATAGAAAACCTTACCAACCAACTAATTGACACWGGTAGGGAATGTTTAAAACTAAATTAATAAACAAATTTATAAATTATTGTTTTTATAACAAAAAATAAAATGATAGAAATAAAAACTTGAACATCTTAAAAATCCTTGGCACAAATATTGAGATAAATAAATTACTTTTAAAAATTTATAAATAAATTTCTCAATTGATACAATTAAATTATAAAAATTAGAATATCGAAATCACTAAATTAAAATTTCCAAACAAAAACCAAAAACCAATGTAAATTACCAAAAATTATGGAACTTATTAATAATTACTAAATGTAAATAATCAATACTTAAATTTCCCAATAACTTTCCAATTTAATAATTACCAAAAAACAATGAAAATTACCAAATTAATTATATAAATTATTAATTTTTTTAATTTAATAATTTTCAAAAGAATGTTAAAATTTTCTAATAGTTATGGAAATTATAAATATAGTTAAAATTCCCCAACAATTTTCCAATTTAATATTTAAAATTTACAAAAACCAATGTAAATGAAAATATCAATAAATAATTTTTCATTAGCAAAATTAACTTTTTAACATTAACAATTTTCTAAAATTACCTCAAAATTATTGAAAATTGCTAAAAAATAATTTTCTGAAACTTTTACTAAATATCAGTAACTATTAATGTTTTTATTAATTATTAATTTTTCAATAATTAATGATATTAATAAATTATTTTTCAAAAAAATTATGTATTTGTGAATAATTAATTACTAAAAATATCAAAATAAATTGATATTTTAATCATTGTAATTAAAATAATTTTCTAAAAACTACTCAAAATTTTAGGTAATAATTATCAATTTTAGACAATAATAATAATAGTAGTATTGAAAATTTTCAGTAAATATTAATAATTCTTAATATTTTCATTAATTATTGATATGAATAAATTAATTTTCAAAAATTTCTAAATTTAAGAATAATTTATTAATAAAAATATCAAAAATTTCCAAAAAATTAGAAATTTTAAATTAACTCTCACTAAATTAAATTACAAAGAATATGAAAATTAATTTATGGAAATCACTAAATTAAAATTTCCCAACCTACTGAAACTAGTGACTATTATTGAAACAAATTAAAAAAAAAATGGTGACCGTTAAAGAGTAATTAGATTCTAGATAGGAAATCGGACCATCTAATCAATCTACAACAACCAATACAGAATATAATGAAAAACATCTGCTTGTAAACTGACCACTAATGAAGATTATCGTGTGCTTAACATGAAATAGGCCTTACTTGCCTTAACTCATGCAAGTAATGTCTCCTTGAGTYTTAAACGGTAACTAGCGGGGACCCGTGCGTTGTATGGGAAAATCTGAAAGATTTAACAATTTTATTTATTATTAATTAATATTAAATTAATAATCAAAATTTGTTGTTAATTAAATAAAAGTATTCAAAGCTATTATTAATATCTAAAATTTTAATAATTGTATTTTTCATTTAATGTTGATTTACAAAAATAATTATTGTTAATTTAATATGAACAAATATTTTTTAATAAATTTAGTTTTATTAATAATTTGTAGTAATTTTAATAATTGTTATTATTTTTAATGAAATTTTGATTAACGTTAAATAAATAAAAATAATTACAAAAGCTAACATTTTTATTAATTTCACTAATAATTAACAATTATATAAGAATGACAACAGGGTGGGTTCAGGGCAGGGCACCCCATCCTTGTCCCTGCCCCATAGTCAAGACACTCTATCCCATCCTTGACTTGTCCCCAGTGTTAGGCGAGTTCAGGGTAAGGCAACCACTCTTCAATGTCGAGTGAGTTTAGGGGCAAGGCACCCCACTCCTCATCAAAGATGGGGAATCCTCAAATTTCCCTGCCCCATCCCCAATATTGAGCGAGTTCAAGTAGAGGTGCGTGCCGTGGGCTAGACTGGTCCATGGGCCAAGCCTTGGGCCAAGCTAGGCCGTAGACCGAGCCAAGCTATGAGAGGTCCATTTAAAAAAAAATGTTTACATTTTTATTTCATATGATTTTTGATGAATACAATTGTTTATATATACAATTAGACCTATTCATGGGTCGGGTAGCCTGACGGCCCAGCCCGCCCTGACCCATTATTTTTTAGGCTTAGACAAAATTTTAGGCATGTGGGATCGAGCTCGAGCTCTCTCAAATAAGCCCCGACCCAATACTATTACATATATAAAAAAAGTACTTATGTTATATAAAAAAAATATAGTATATATATATATATATACACACACACATATGCTTCTTAAATTATTAATAAATATCAATTTACTATTAGGAAATATAAATTAGTTTATTAATTTATTAAATATTACTAAGTTAAGGGCTGGGTTCAGGCTCGGACTCGAGCTTTAGGCTTTATATAAGGGCTGGGCCCGAGCTCAAGATCTAGGCCTGATGGTCGGGCCGGGCTTGGGCTCGGGCTTACACATTTTCTGTTGATAAAGAGGCTCGTGTTAATTATAAAACTATGATTTTTTAGTATAAATATATATATATATATATATATATATATATATATATATATATAACATTTCTATATATAGTAATATAAGTTTTTTTATTTAAATATTATATAATAATATTTACCATATATGCATATAACTTCCAAGTTGAGCTTATTAGGGGTTGTTTAGCTTGGGTCCTATCTGCTAAAGTCATCATTGGATTCCAAAAGTTTAGCACCCAATTAGACTTCGAAGCTGATTATCCTTGATAATGTGCAGGCACGGTGCATATCTCAGCTAGACCTAACTCAAAAGAAAATTGCTGATTGAACTTGCAAATTTATAGATCTAATCAGGTTAGGTTAAGTTAGAAACAATTTGTTAGTTTTTATTTTTAATTGTTCAAATATTGTAATTACTAAATTAATGTATTGCTAATTTCTTGGCTAAATATTAGAATATTTCTTGGCTAAATTAAAATATTGTAAATATTAAAATATTATTAATTATTTAAAATACAATAATTTATGGAAATTATAATATCTTCAGAAATATTGCTAATTTCTTGGCTAAAACTAATTAAAAGTAATTTTTCATAATTAAATATAACTTTTTGGTAATTAAATGCAATTTTCTACTATTTATAGCTTAAATTATAATTACTACTAATTATAGTTTAAAAATAATTATTGTTAATTATATTACTATTAATAATTAAAATACATTATTTTTTAAATTGTTATTCAGTATTTTTTGCAATAAAATACAATTAATTTAATTTTTAAATTATTTTAATTAAGTTTTAGGTTTTTTAGAATTTTTGGTTTTTTAATAAAATCTTGGTGTTTCTTCATTATTATTCAGTAACTTTTTCATATGAGTATTTTTCAATAATTTTTAGTATTTTCAGCATCTATTTTTGCATATTAGTCACTACAAAATTAATTTGCATTTGCTTCAAGAAAAAATAAATTAAATAACTAAATAAATACCATAGTTAATAAAAAATATAACTAATTTTCAATATTTTTCAATAATTTATGGCATGGGTATTTTTAATAATAA